CAGCACAATTCTGATGTTGGCACATGTCTTAGTATGCAAGATGGACCTTGATGTTGCCTCATTGAATCCGCGGCTCTATGACAGTATGTTGGCTGTGTTCTGCAAAGAGTCCGACATTCCCACAGATGCGGTAGCCATTGCTTTGGAAAATGCAACCCTGAGTGCCCGTGGAGACATCCGCAAACAGCATGATGTTATCACATGGCTGAGCAAGCTGTTGATCCTGAAAGGCAAAGGCTTGTCACCCACTGAAGTCTTGCAGCGGTGGAATGAGAGTGCAACACGCGAAGCAGCAGTGGTAGGAAATAAGCGCACCGGTTTGCTACTGCTACTGAAGCTTCCTACAGAATCAGCGCAGTTGCTCCTAAAACACAGCAGTACCTTCGGCAATGACTCTGCGTTCAGCAATGAAGTCTTCGCGCACAAACGATTGCATCCTGGCTACACCCCTCGTGGAATGCCGCGGCAATGGCAAACAAGAATGACCGTCACTGTGGATGGGTTCAACTTGTTCGTCCAATATGTCCATGCCAGTCAAGCACGAAAGATCAAGGATAATAGGAAGAACTGGGACAAATCAGCGCTGGAAGAGACCCTGTCCATGGCCCAGCTACTGACATCCCTCATGGTGGAAATCCAGAACCAGCATGCTGTCCACAAAGATCTGCTTCTAGAGAAAGTCATTCATCCCTTTCTGGACTTTGACCCAAATTTCGAGCTGGAACTCCAATCTGCGTTGAGCGAGTGCAAAGCAGACTTTCAACCAGCCGACCTCTCTAAGTTCAAGGATGTAGTAGCGGTGGCCCTCGCTAATCGAGATTCAAAAATGACAGCAATTGGCCAAGGACCACGAATCACAGCAGGCGAGCTGGAAAAGCAAGCGTTCGAGGTCATGCTTGCATCAGCAGAACATGATGTCCAATCATACCGCGCCTGGCGCACCAAGTGTCTGGACAGAGACAGTGCGCAGTATTTCCAACAGCTTCAGCACACCGCAAGACGGCAGAAGCAGGCCAAGGAGATCGCAGCCAGCGTGACAGCAGCAGGGCCAACATGGCAAATCCAGTTGGACATCTTCAAAAAGCTGGACACTGCCAACTTTGCAATTGTCACCGCCATCGCTGACAAGATCCAACGTCTGCACCAGTTGTCCGACCGAGAGTCCATCCATTGCATTGCTTTCTTGAATTGGTCTGCCCCTGCGATTTTTTCAGCGCAGACTCAGAAGGCGCAGGCAGGTTTGTGCGGAGGCATTGTGAACGGGCTTGGCCGCTCCATTGGCGTGTGCTTAAGCCCCATTCATTTTTACAAACGAGGCAGCCTACACAAAGCAGAGCAGAATTGCTTAACATTGCTGACCAATTCAGCGTTGAACACGGACATCCGCTTCGCAGTGGCGTATGCCAGCAAGACAGATGAGCGGGAGAAACGGCCAATGCTCCACCCAGGCTTCATCCTATTCCCAGGGGGAACAGACGAGAGCGCAGTTCACAAGGTGCTTTGGCAAATTTGGCGCACCTCAGGACTGCTAAGCAAAGGGGCCATTACAGACGTCAGCATGAACCCCTCACAGCAAATGCATGTCATCGAGGACATGAGAGACGACGCGCTACCAGATTCGTCAGACACAGCCACGCATTTGAGCCAGGTCGAGAAGGCGGTGCAGATCGGCGAAGACGCTGCGCGCAAGGTCCTTCAGGCAGCTTTGCCTCAAGGCCTGAGCCGCGCAGCCATCTTGGTGGTCGATCTGACTTCGCACACTCTGGAGTTGGCTAAGGCGTGCTACAAAGAGAGGGTAGCAAAGACTCAGCAGACTCCTATCTATTATTTGGGTATGGCAGAAAGTGAAAGTGAGTTGGAATGGCAACGCCACCATTTGGAGTCATGGCTGAGTGAGGGCTACATAGATGGCTCAATCGGGTTGCCCCCAGGCGCGCCATCCCTGATGCCCAAAGAATTGCCTTCAGACGTGGTGACTGCCCTTCCACCAAAGCCTGATCTGAACACCTTAGCATGGAGTGCCAAGAAGGACGAAGTAGCGGGGCTGCCGACCTTAAAAACCCCCGACAAGATCTTACAAGCGTGGCATGACCACGCTGTCTACGGAAGCCGATTCCAAGAATGGCTAACACAAAGTCGGGCCGCCATTCCATTGGATCTTTCTGAGTCCGCTTCAACCAAGGCATCGTCATCCAGCAACAAACGAGGCGCTCCAGGGACTTCGGAGTCATTGGAGCCACCCCCAAAGGTCTTGAAATCAACAACAAAAGAAGAAGATGCCGCTGCCGCCGCCGCAGCAGCCAGCATTCCTGCAGCAGATCTGCCAAAACCTTTGGCATGGCAGGCGACAATTTCAGGGAGCGGTACCAAAGGAAAAAGCAGTGGAGGAGGAAAGTTGGTGATAGCAGTGGGAAAGCGGGTGTTTATCGTGAATGAAGGCAGTGCAGATCTTCTCCTGCAGCCTGGCTCAACCCTGGCAGGCTATTACAAAGGAAAGTTTGTGGCACTGAAGAGCGGCCAGGAAGAGGCGCGTCTTGCTGATGTCCCTTTCACGCTGACAGATTCCACCGACTCAGTGCTGCACGAAAACAAGATTCAGTCAGTGGGCCAGGTTGTGGCACAGAAGCGAGCGCTGACGCCATTGAGCGCAAGCGTCTGCTACCACGAGCTGGTAGACCAGCCCAATGCGGAAGATGCGAAGCATTTCATCTTGACTTTGAAAAGCCTAATTGCTTTTCGGCCTGAGAATGCACCAACAACGGAAGACAAAAAGGACAAAGATGGCTGCTACACATTGCCGCAAACCAGCATGGCTGGCTGCTTGGACACACTTGCATGGGAAACCAAGCATACCAGCATCACCTGGGCAGTCAAGTGGCAAGCCAGAGGCTTGCAGCCAGTCCGGCCAGTGGTAGTGGTGACGCGCAAACTGACTGTGAAGGCTGGCCAGGCCGTGGAACTGGTCAAGTAGGCGCCCAGTCGGTTGGCATAATAGTGCTGAACAACCAATACTGTAACCACATTAATAATGGCTTTCACTTTTTTGCCCAATATTGAAATTCTATTGTGTTTCTCATCTCACTAATATGCCGGCCGCTTGGAGATGCCTTGGCCAAGTAGCTCCTCAACTGACTGTCTCAGCTCTGACTTGCCGAAAATGGTTCTCCGTGCAGCTCTGAGATGGTATGGGGAAATTAGGAGCAGCCTGCACTTAGGTTGATGGTGTATTCTTTACTAAATACATGTCTTCGCCATTGCAATATTGACAACATAGTAGGGCCATGTCCGCAAAACAACGATTGAACGACATGTTACAAAAGGATAATTAAGGCAAACAAATAATAATAATAATAATAAACAGTTCTTTGTAAACAAGTCAATCATAATCACTCACGTGGGCAATGACGCTTCCGAAGACCACGCAGATTGGACTATATGAACCATTGTTATGTATTTGTAGAATACAAGGAAAACAAGAAACACATGCATTTACTCTGAGATTGGTTAAATGTATGATATGCTGATTGCAGGGAACTCAGAAATATTCATCTACTTTGCATATTTTTTCGAGTGGCCACAGCAACTCAAACAACTTTCGGTCAACGAATGGAAAAGGTCTTCAAGGGCGCCCGTGTGTATTTCCATATATTTCTCACAGCAAATCAAATATCTTTGTTCGGGCAAACAAGCAGAAACAACATAATTACATCTTTAGAGAAGCATGAAAGGCACTCAGCGGAGCATATGATAAGTTGTAATACATAACTCTATGTTCGCACATAACTGACACAACAAATCAATGTAAAGAAAAGAACGAGACATAATTATCACCTTTCCACCGCACAATGCAACACAAGTAGAACTATAATAACTGAATACCTTCTAGCAGTTTCTGCCATGGAAACAGGAAGAGGCTATGGAAAAGGTGATGGCAAGACAAAGAAAGGGGGCCCACATGCCAAATATCCGCCTTCTCGTCTAGTTGCTGCCACAAGCTCCGGGCTTGCGCAGCTGCCACCATCATCATCATCATCATCGTGGCAGCCACCATCATCATCATCATCATCAGCATCATCATCATGGCAGTCTGCCGCTGCCACCGGCTTCGAACCGGCGCCGCAGCAGCACCAGCAGCAGCAGCAGCAGCAGCAGCAGCAACAAGTGGCTTTGACTCCACCAACTATCGCCACCAACATCTCATTGGCGAGAGACTGGTTTATTTCCCCAATCCCTGAATCTGAAGCTCCAGCTGCAAAGTCTTCTTGCGCTGTAGCAGCACCAGCAGCAGTATACACCGATGACGATCTCTTCGACGAACCGGATTCAGAGGGACGTGACAATAATCTGCAGCTGCCTGCCGCTGGGCAAAATAATTGGGAGAATCTGATGCCAATGACACCTTCATCTTCTTCACAATCGTGCATATATCCGGATGGATCAACAACAGAAGGGGGAACTGCGCCTCCTTCATTGTCGTTCCGCGCTGCCACTGCCTCAGTACAATCGAGCTCTACACCGCAAGGCACGCTAAGTTCTTCCCACCACTCATCAGTGCCAACTTCAGGGCAAGGCACGCTAAGTTCTTCCCACCACTCATCAGTGCCAGCTTCAGGCAACAGTGGGCAGACTGACACTCAGTGAGAAGCAGCGCTGAAAGGCCGACAGTCATTCCAGCCAGTGTGAAAGGCGAGCGCCAGCTGCTCGTGCTGCTGCTGCTTCTTTTACTGTCCAGTTCAACCCACACGGAGAAGTACGTGAGCCATGATGTCATGTTGTTAGCAATTGACTCACAGGTCAGCATCAATTACATGTTGTGCCGCAGCTCTTTTGGCTCCAACGCAGCAGGGCCCACATCAAACAACATGCAATAATTAAGTAGTCATGCCACAAAATACACCCGATCAGCTCTCATTGAAGCGTTCAGAATTAAAGACCAAATTGGCTTCAAACATGTTCCTTCAGACCATGTGACAGTAAGAGATGCTCAAAAAACTTTAGCCATGGCTGATGGATTCAACTGGTCATCATCTACTGCCGCAGGCAGCGATCATGATTGTGATGACGGGCATCATCAGGGCAGCAGCGCCAACAATGAGCAAGCACCGTCTGTGTGCCACGGTCAAGGTGATGATGTTCGTATCGCAGCAGCAGCGGCCTGCCCTCTAGGTGTCGCTGCCCAACTGCCAGCAAAGGATGTGACTACAGAACCAACTGTAAACACCAGTGCTGGCAGCGGCAGCGTGCCTGACACCACTGCCATGGGAAGGTTTGCTTACTCTGAGTCTGGCGTTAGTGCCAGCCAGAGCTGCAATCCTGTGAATTCTGCTGGCCACCATTGCCCGCAGTGTAGCCAGTGGAGTAGAAGCAATGTTTTTAAATGCCAGTGCTTGACTGCCCAATACCTAGAGAGGCAGCGCGATCGGTGTCCATTCGGTTGTGGCGAACGTCTGGGTCTCATGGACGATTGGGCATACCACAAGCATTTACGGAATTGTGAAATGCGGAATCCCTACGCTCGGAAAAAATTACGTGGAAATTGAATTTGCATTGTCCGATGAGCCGCTAGTTGGACTGACCCACCTAGCCATCTCCCAGTGAATGAGGCGCTATTGGACGGACCGGGCCCACTAGCCACCTCACATTGTGCGTGCTGGGGGAAAAAAAGTCCGTGCGGGCAGCTCTGAAATCATTCAATAATGATGCCAATTCATTTAAGCTTTCCCTCATATATAATGTTTGATCAGCATTTAACTGAAATCAATCCGAAACCCTTACTTTTATCAAAAAACATTGTCATATTACCACCTCATATCAATCCGAAACCCTTAACTTTTCTCAAAAAACAGTGTCATATACCAAAAAAAACTAAAAACGAAAAAAAAAACCTAAAAACGAAAAAAAAACGCCTTACTGGCCGTTCTGACCTGTGTATCGCAGGCGTTTTCGGTGCTGGAAAGACGCGTTCCCTAGCAGTTTTGCTAATTGCCCTCAGCTGCGAACTAAGTGACTTCTATGCGATTGTTTACACCAAAGAAAACGTTGGTGCAAAAGCCCTTGCTGACCAAATCAGTGACCTTGCCCCACCAACGCAAACTGCCTTTGGACGGCTGATGGGCCGCATTGAGGAAGGAAAGGGCGAAGCTTATGCAACAAAAATCGATGTTCGATGCAGTGATCGCAATCGAGTTATCGCTGAGAAACGCATCTTGATTGCCACTGGAGGCTCCGCTACTGCGGAAATGGCCATGAAATACTCTTCGTTTAGTCTCTGGCTCTCCAAGGTGTGGCTTGCATTTATGGATGAAAGCCAGCAGTACGGCAATTACCATGAGATTGCCGCGCTAGCTGCAATCCAGCAACCGGCACTGATTGTCTTTGTGGGCGACCACAGGCAAACACCGAGAGGCCTATCCAAGGGAAGGGCTGCAGCAGCGAATAGGCAGAAGCTTCTTCACCGTCCCCTCGGGCTGAGAGCCTTGAATCGCCCTGGAAATTATTTGCCCCCTGCTCGGCTCACCAAATTAATTGCACTCCTTTGGCCGGATGCAAGCCAGGATAACGATTCGGAAGTGGCCAGGCTGCTCAACCTTGGCCAAGCACCACACACAGGAATTTGGACTACTGAAACAACTGCCCAGCCCCTGCCAACTTCGCTGGCGCGCCTTTTCAGTGAGGAAACGCTCAGCCACCTGAATGTTAAGAGTTGCCTGATTTCTGCAATACTAGCGGTCCTGCTTATTGCCACTGCGCCAGAAGAATTTGGCATTCCCGAGTGCACAACTACGGTGGAAGCAGCTGGATTAGATGGTCCACATAGATGGGGCATCATATTGCCCAACAGCTCCAGAGTGTCCCTATTGACATACAAAGCCATCGTCGCAGTTAGGTACCCGGAGCTGGTGCTACGCTTTCGCGACGCGTTGCGACTGTGTATTAAGTAAAGAGCGCCGGTCCTCACCCTCGCGTTCTCCCTTCCTTACTCTTGGGTGCTTATGGTGTTTGCTGGTGCATACTTCCGAGTTACTTTGTTGGAAACTTCCACTTGGCCGGGGGTTTGGTTCGGCTGCGTCATTTCCAAACCGCCTGTGGAATTGAAATCAACAATACAGTTCTTTTGGTCAAACTAAGAGAACTGTCGGTTGGATTGTTTTTTCCTCAAAGTTCCGTGAGGTTTATTTCAACCATCCGGGTTTTCTGGAAATGGTTTGAATCTCCCCAAAGATGGTTTTGGAAAAATCCTCCAGTATCAGAAGTGAATGAGAAACAGTCTTCTCCGGGATTAAACTTCTGAACTCATGTGGTTATGTTTGTACAAAACTTTGTACAGTCTTTTATCCTGGTATATTTTCCAAGTGAAACTTGAGAATTTGTTTTGATCGACTTCGGTATTAAGTGGATCAAAAGTGGTGGTGCAAATTTTAGTGGTGTTGGTTTTCCGGCGTTGCCTAGCCTTTTAGAAAGGCTCATGGATACAGAGGGCGATCTGGATGAGAGACGGGAACAACTCTGGCAGGTGTTAGTGCACTGGGGTTTAGTTGGGAAGAAGCTCGCAGTTTTCCCCGAAGAGGATGCAAGTGATATTGCAAGTCAGATCTGCGCCGAGTTGGGGGTTATTTGTGAAGCCATTTACGTGCAGCAAGTTGAAGTTTGGATCAGGGACGCTAGGCGAGGGGAACCCTTGAGCAAGAGACTGAGAGGGGAACACATTTCTGATCCTTTACATGCACAAGTTTTGCAAGACAAGAAGCGTTTATCTTCAACCGCTTTGGCTTCTTCTTCAAAACCCTCAACTGTTTCTTTCCAACATGGGCTAGTGCAGAGACCAGAGAAGCAGCGAGTGCTGGACCCGGAAGAGGCCCAAGCACGTTCCAGGCGTGAGTCGGAGGCCAAGGATCGTTGGGCAAAGGAGCTGTACTTGGAGTTGAAGAAAATGGAGGCTCCAGCTCTTATAGAGTTGGAGCATTGTGTGAGCGACAAGCATCTACACCTAGCATTGGCAGGGCGGACACGTGCTTCAACACTGAAAAGGTATGTGAAGACTTGGAAACACTGGTTACACTGGATGGAGGCAGTCAAAGGGCAATACAGTGCAGGAACAGCTGGGGACTTAGTGGAATACTTGTTCTGCAGATATGACGAACCATGTGGACCAACCGTACCTGTTCTCATAGTGAAGGCTGTTACGTGGATGGAACGTATTGCATGTGTTCCAAATGCCATGCGGGTGGGGGAATCGCAAACAGTAGCTTCTGTGAGGGACTACATTGTGGAGATGCTTTCAAAAGACGCTCCGCCTATGAAGCGTGCACCACGGTATCCAGCAGCTATCATGGAGTCGCTGGAGGAAGCAGTGGAGGACACCTTTTTGCCGGTGGGACTGCGAGTGATAGCATGGATCAAGCTGGTAAAGATCTGGGGGACCCTGAGATGGGATGACGTGCAGAAGATTGCGCCGAGTGAATTGCGGTTTTTTGGGAACAGACTGACATCCATTTTGAGGGTCACCAAGACGACAGGTCCAACCAAGCGAGTGCAGGAGCTTCCACTGTGTGTGTCGGAACATGCCTTTATTTCTTGTCCCTTCTGGTTAAAAACAGGTTTTGACTTGTTGAGGGAACATGCAGATTTTCAACGGGATTACTTGCTGCCTAAGCTGACAGCGGAGTTGGGGGGCTTTCGCAAAGCGATGGCTTCATACAATGATGTGGTTTCGTACTCAGCAAGGCTGCGAAAGGGTTTGAAGCGGCCGGGCACAATGCAGCCGCAGATGGACCCGATTTTGTCCACTTTTTGGACAGAACATTCAGAGAGGGCTACTCTGCCTACAGGTTTGGCATTACTGCGTTGTCCAAGGGAAGAGCGGGATCTGTTAGGCCGCTGGAAACCTGATGGGTCTGACACCTATGTGCGGATGTATAGCGGAGTGGTGACCAGACTTCAACAACAATTTGCAAAGGCAGCCAGAGGCAAAGACCGCTTTAAGGTCTTGGACGAGCAGGAGGTGATTGAATCTGCAATTTCCTGGATGACAGATCGAGTGGAAGTATGGGATGACGCTGACATTCAACACGCCATTAGATGGTTGGAAGCTTCAATGCGGTGGGAGCCGCAATTGACTTGGGAACGAGTCGGCGAAGAGGACCCGGTTACGGCAGGAGATGTAGAGGTGCCAAATCTAGAGCGTGCAGAAGTGCCACCAGAGAGAGATGTGAGAGAAGAGAGAAATGCTGCATACATCGTAGTCCATACCAGTAAGAAATGCAAGAGACTTCATAAAGTGAGAGATGGATGTTGGATGGGCAGAGAGATGGTATTTAAATCATCTGAAGAGTTCGTGGAGATGCCTGACAAGAGTCTCTACACGCATGTGTGCAAGGTTTGCTGGCCAAAATCCAGCACTGTCATGGAGGAATCAAGCTCATCAAGTTCATCCACGTCTTCGTCAAACTCTCAGAGCTCCACTTCAGAAGAGAGTAAGTAGTTATATGATTTGGCAGGTGGAGTCAAACTGGTTAGGAGAGATACTGCGTGTAGTGAATCTGTTGCATGGTTAGGGATGTCGGAAATGCAATATGCTGACTTGTTTCAGTAAGTCAATGCGAAGCATCTGACCGGTCGGAGGAAGGTTTTGCCGTTGCATGCAACCGGAATCAGTGTCGGTGACCTCAGTTTTCTGCATTTTCATTTCACTCATGTTCTTGTTGTTTCCATTGTCCTTTCTTGCGAAGCTGCTTGTCATCAACGGTATTGACCTTGGCTGTCTCACAGGGATTAGTGGCAACTTGAAGGGTTTTCGCTTGCAGTTTTTGAGTGTGCACTTCACGGGTCATGTTTTGCTGTTTGGAAGTCGTGAGACAATAGGCAAGCCGGGAACTTACCACTTGTCAGAGGATGGTTGCGTAAGAAACGTAGCTCGGTTTCACAGCGTGAAGCTCGGATCAGAGCACGGTCGGAGCCAAAGTGGTGCCAGAGTGGACAGTGGAATCAACTTGTTTTTGAATTATGTCAGAAGCACTCACAAGGGATGCAAGTTCGGTTGAATGATACAGCAACTTGCATGGGTGACAACTCGGAGCCGGAAGGGAGGTTGCTCCGGGCGGAAGGTTCACCAGGGTTGAGGTGCTTTATATATATATATATATTATCTGAAGGTTGGCGTGAGTTGGATGTCTTGCATGGTAGAGATAAGGTGAGGTGATGTCAAAGTGCGGTGATTTACTTTTAGTAAGGACTGCATGATAGTGTAGAGCAGTTGGATCCGCAGGTCCACCGGTGAGCTCAGAGTGAAGACATCACAAAGGGTGGACAAGACACATCTCATGCAACCTATTTCCCATGTCTTTCAACTTTTCCAGGAAGCAGTAGGTGATAGCAACAGCGGAAACTCAGCCTGGACCTTAATTCGTTGAATTCCGTACAGATATCACCTTGAAAACAGAGGACCTGATAGGTCCCCACAAGAAGGCTTTGGGGACCTATCGTTTTTAGCCTGTTACCAGTCATCTTGTTTTGATTTCGGATTTTGACACTGGATCGGTTTCTATTTGAAAATCTTTTGGGTGAATCAACTGAAAAATGATGGCATGTTTCCAGAAGATTCGGCAGTGCAGAGCGTAGTGACCTGAGCAATGGCAGTTGCTCCCATTTCGAGGGAAGATGCGTTGAAGTTGGGCAGCACGGACCTCCGTTTTACGTTGAACAGGAATGACGTATCCAACGATGTGCAGGCAGCTTTCTTCACCAACAAGGTGACAACAGTCCAAAAATTCTCTTCCTTCTTCAGATCTGAGACAGACTTAGTGGATGTCTTACGTGATTCCTTTGCGGTGGATGCAGCAGCAGGCCTGGAACAAAGGGCGCAGGTAGCTTCAGTGATGTGTGCTTGGAAAGAAGCCCAGACAAAAATGAAACGTCAAGCTGAAGTAGAAGCTGAGATGGATACGAGAGAGTGGACAAAACCAATTCCAACAGGGGACTACATTAGCTTGCGCAATGCATTCATGGAAGTGCATGGAAGGTTGGAAGACAAGGTGACTCCATCTAAAGAGTTTTTGGAGAAAAAACTGCAGGAGCTGGAGAATGGAGAGTTCAGGGCGGAGACCTTGTCGGAGGTGGTATCGAAAGATGAGGTGGACCCTGATGTTTTGGTGCCTGTTTTTGATTCAAAGGGCAGTTTGACGGTGAAGAAGGGCTCAACCACGATAGCGTTGCCAACAGGGCCGGAGCAGTTGAGACGACGGCTTTCAGTGATGCAGAATGCCCTCATCATGTTGTCGTTACGACATACTAACAGGGAAGAGATTCAGGACATCACCAAGGAGTTGTTTGATAGATACAAAGATTATCTCCTAGGAGATTTCGTGTATGGACTGGTGTCAACAGATGTGCATGGACAGCAGATACAAACGCCACCATGGAGTTTGGTATTACCCTACGAACAAGCAATTCGAAAAAGAGCCTATCAGCTGATGCTCACGGACAAGTTGAAGCTGGGAGCTGCGATGGAGCAGGCCTGGAAGTGTCCTGTGACGAAGGAACGATACTTCATCACACCACTGGCGTTGTACAGCAAGAGATCCTATCCTCAGCAGGACTGGAACCCCAAGGGAAAGGGGAAGAGCAAAGGAAAGGAAACGAAAGGGAAGAGCAAAGGAACATCAAAGGGAGCAGCAACAGCTCCGGATGGTCAGAAGATTTGTTTTCGTTTCAATGCTGGGAAGTGTACACACAAGAATTGCAAGTTTGCACATTTATGCAACAAGTGCTTCAAGAAAGGTCACAGCGCGATGAACTGCAAGGACAATAAGAACCCCCCGGATACTACCGGGCACTGACAAGGTCCACAGTCGGAGAGGAGTGCGCGACAGGGTTCTGGCAAATCAGTCTGTCGTGTGTTATATCTTTTCTCTGGGAGACCTCGGAAAAATTCAATAGCAGCTTGGTTGAGAAAACTTTCAAAGAAGCTGGGTGTCACGGTGCAAGTGGAGATGGTGGATATTCAAGTGCGACCGCATTTGGATGTCACGCTGTCCAAAGTCAGGGATTTCTTGTTAAGCAAAATTTCCACTGGCCAATATTTTGCTATTTTGCTCAGCCCCCCGTGTAGCACTTTTTCACGGGCGCCGTGGGCAAACAAAAAGGGACCTCGACCGGTGCGGTCATTTGTCTTTCCCCGCGGCTTCACACGAATGACATGGTCTGAAAGGAAACGGACAGATTGGGGAAACGTGTTGGCAGATTTTTCGTTTCAAGCTTTTGCAACACATGCAGCATCAAATCCAGAAGGCATGGAAGCGTTTGAAAATCCTGAAGATTTAGGAGCAGTAAAGACTGGGGAGCACCAGGGGGTCCGTCCTTCTAGCATGTGGCAGTGGCCAGATTTTGATATGTTGTTGCTTCAAGAAGATACTACAACGGCGGCTTTTTATCAACAAGATTTTGGAACAGAATACCTGAAGCCGACCCGCCTTCTGTTACGCAATTTCCGCCAGCTGCCGGAGTTCTTTGTGGAAGGCAAGCCTCTTTTTGACGAGCAGGGCTACTATGCAGGACCGTTGGAATCGAGACAAGCGACAAAGCAACTTATTGGTTTTTCTGCGGGGCAATTTCAGACGACAGGGACGGAACAATGGCCTTCACAAATGTGTGAATGGATGGCCCTGCAGATTTTGCAGGGGTTTATGGCTAGACAGAATGCAGGCCAAAACACCACTGTCACAGCTGACGAGGGGGAGATCACACAGGACACTGATGTTTTTCCTATTTCAAAACCTGATGGAAGGAAACTGGTGGGAGGTATGGGAGAGCCGCGGTTCTGTCAGGCGCCAGGCAAGTCAAGAGCTTTTCATGATGGGGCCGGGTTGGCATCCATGGGACGCTGGGACGTTGAGAAACGTATTTGGTCGCAAAGCAGTTTTTGGAAGGTTTTTAGACAGAAATCATTGGACCTGGTTTGCAGTTATCTTGCAAAGGGATGCACCTTGGACAGGGTTTGTTTTGAGATGGCAGTCAAAGGCGAAAGTGGATGTGCTTTGGTGAAAAATGAGGAGCTCAAGGAGAGCTTGCGAAAACTGTGGGTAAGTTTGCTAAAAGAGAGAGGATGTGCTGAACCGGGTCTGGATCAGATTGCGGAGGGTCAACCCTTCTATCTGAAGCTGATGAGGGAGCTGTTGGCGATGTGTGAGGACCCGGACAGGGAATTTCTCTTGCAAGGCGAGGTGGGTTTCCCAGTAGGGATATTGAAGCCCCTACCTCGTACACCTCATATATATGAGGAACAAACTGCGTGGAAACTGGAGGAGGACCCCTTCATGAAAGGGGAAGTCTGGCGGAACAACTATGAGTCAGTACAAGAGCATGAGGTTTTTGTGCGGGAGCACTTCGAGCAGGAGTGTGCAGAGGGCCTTATGGAAAAGATCTCGCTGGACGAGGCGAAGAGACGGTATGGTGAGCGAGTGGCCATTTCTTCACTTGCAGTACTTGTTGAGGATGCAGAGCTGGGGAAGAAGCGCATCATCCATGATGCAACTCATGGGACAAAGCTCAACCATAGGATCAAGTGTCGTGACAAGACTCGGAGTCCGGGAGCTCGAGAGAAACAATACCTACTGGCTTACTACAGAGAGCGCAAGAAGGCTCTAGTGAGTTTAGTGGGCGACATCAGCAAAGCCCACCGTCGCTTTCTTCATGATCCAGAGGAGAGAGGTCTTCTGGCGTGCAGGGTGAAGGAAACAGACCCTTTTATTTACATCAACAATTGCGGTACTTTTGGAGTGGCAAGTGCTAGCTACTGGTGGGGGCGGATTTCTGGAGCGGGGATCCGCTTGGTACACGAGATGCTGGGGCCAGAGAGGCCTGTGGAACTTTTGATTTTTGCAGATGACCTGGAGAGTTTGGGTGCGGACTCCATGGGGAGACAGGGAATTGTGCTGACCTTCTTGTACATGTCTGCCTTGGGGTTCCCCTTTAAATGGGCGAAGCAGAGAGGGGGCCTCAAGGTGGAGTGGATTGGACTTTTCACTGATTATTCCAGTTTCAAGTTGGGGTTATCGCCAAAGCGGGCGACTTGGATGCGTAACTGGGTGTTGGAGCTTGCAAACTCTGGGAAGGTGACGCAGAAAGTCTTTGAGCAAGGCTTGGGGAGATTGGGTTTTTCGGCATCAGCTCTTTTGTGGGAGCGACCTTTTCTTGGACCCTTGTACAGCTGGAATGCAGCGGTCCGGGGGAAGAAAGGTGTACTGAAAATTCCGGCAATGCTGAGGGCCATTCTTCTTTTCTTGGCGGAGAGGATTGAGGATGGGGGGGATCTGCATTCCCCCCCGCCACTGGCGAAGCCTGCGGAAGAGCACCTGTTATTTTTTACAGATGCGAAGGCAACAGAGGTTTCGGCTTGGATTGGAGGGTACAAGCAAAGTAGACAAGGGGTGATCCTTGAGTGGTTTTCGGAGGAGATTGATCGGGAATGGGCTCCGTGGATTTTCTTGAAACGAGATCCGAAGCGGATCATTGCATCGCTGGAGTTACTGGCGAGCTTGGTAGCAGTAAAATTGTGGGGCCCCAAGGAGGGGCAGAGGAGTTCTGCCACATGTTTTTTGAGAGGGAAAACAGACAATCAATCCAACACCTATGCGTTGTCGAGATGGATGAGCACCAAGTTTCCACTCACTTTATTGATCATGGAACTTTCTGAGACCTTGAGGCAGGGACGATGTGAGTTAGGCTTGGATTGGATTCGTAGGGATTTCAATGAGTTGGCTGATGATCTCACCAACAACAAGTTTGAGAAGTTTGAAAAATTCCCCAGAGTCAGATGGTTGCCAAAGGAGGAACGATGGTTGGTGTTTGAACGCTTCATGAAACATGCACAGGATTTTCATGCTGAGCTCGCAAGGGAAAGACAAGTCAAGCGAGAGCTCCCAAAGAAATTGCCAAAGGCAAAGAGACAGAAACTTGAAAAGTGGTGATTGGCCGTCCCTCGGTTTCCAGGGGGGTTCATTCACTCGGAAATGCCAATCAACCGGCAAGTGATGAACCAAGAAAAAGGATGGGTCGATGTAGCCAACCTACAGTGTTTCAACCTGAGGAAGAAAAAGTGGGGAGCGAGTGCGATCCATCGTTTCTGCATTGTTGTGTTTCTTGCATGTTGTTTGACTTTTTCCCTTTGGCGGAATTTTTCACGAAAGAAAATTTTTACGACAAGAGCGGCGAGAAGTTATTTGAAAGAGGCGACAGATCCTGCGCACGTATTTCCCCCTCCTGGTTTGGTTTTTTAGGTTGGTATATATATATATATGTTTACCCCGGTTATTTTGGGAGGGTTTAGGGTGGGTTTGCGCTAAAGACTTAGTACGCTTTCGCGACGCGTTGCGACTGTGTATTAAGTAAAGAGCGCCGGTCCTCACCCTCGCGTTCTCCCTTCCTTACTCTTGGGTGCTTATGGTGTTTGCTGGTGCATACTTCCGAGTTACTTTGTTGGAAACTTCCACTTGGCCGGGGGTTTGGTTCGGCTGCGTCATTTCCAAACCGCCTGTGGAATTGAAATCAACAATACAGTTCTTTTGGTCAAACTAAGAGAACTGTCGGTTGGATTGTTTTTTTCCTCAAAGTTCCGTGAGGTTTATTTCAACCATCCGGGTTTTCTGGAAATGGTTTGAATCTCCCCAAAGATGGTTTTGGAAAAATCCTCCAGTATCAGAAGTGAATGAGAAACAGTCTTCTCCGGGATTAAACTTCTGAACTCATGTGGTTATGTTTGTACAAAACTTTGTACAGTCTTTTATCCTGGTATATTTTCCAAGTGAAACTTGAGAATTTGTTTTGATCGACTTCGGTATTAAGTGGATCAAAAGTGGTGGTGCAAATTTTAGTGCCCACCCACCCAGACCCCGGGGGGGTTCATTCACTCGGAAATGCCAATCAACCGGCAAGTGATGAACCAAGAAAAAGGATGGGTCGATGTAGCCAACCTACATACAGTGTTTCAACCTGAGGAAGAAAAAGTGGGGAGCGAGTGCGATCCATCGTTTCTGCATTGTTGTGTTTCTTGCATGTTGTTTGACTTTTTCCCTTTGGCGGAATTTTTCACGAAAGAAAATTTTTACGACAAGAGCGGCGAGAAGTTATTTGAAAGAGGCGACAGATCCTGCGCACGTATTTCCCCCTCCTGGTTTGGTTTTTTAGGTTGGTATATATATATATATGTTTACCCCGGTTATTTTGGGAGGGTTTAGGGTGGGTTTGCGCTAAAGACTTAGTACATGATCAGGATCCCATCCAAATAGGCCATTTTGTCCCCCACGATCACTGTCGGGCATGGAGGCTTCCGCACAGTGCTATGGGAAGTACCCAGAGACTCCAGAGACCTCCTGGCTGCTATTGAGGATATTGTAGTTTTCCTCAACTACCTTCAAAAGTGCTATCGGGACCTCAATCAAGGTGCGACAGCGCAGCTCCTGGTAATGTGTAATCGCACGGCAGTGCATACACAACTCCTGCAGCATGGCTTTCAAGCAGCTTGGTTTGGAGGCCTGCGCATAGCCACAACCTCGTCTGCAGCAGGGGCCACCGCGCGGATAGCAGTTGTTGTTCAGACAGGGTGCGGCTTCCTCAGCGGGGGCCGTCGAGGAGCATCATTAGAAGACAAAGAAGACTGTTTTGGGCGAGCTACTGTCGCACTCACCAGAGCCATGAAACATACATACATTGTTTCCCCCATTGATATGGCTGGGCTGATCGGGATGGCTCAGACGCTTGCGGTTTATCACTACGGGTACTACACCCTTAAAGATAGACTTGTTCAGTTTCATGAGCCAAAGCACGTGCCATCGGACGCAGAAGCGGTCCTTGAGTGGGGACTCAATACACCTTTCAATTCGCAAGACAAACCGCCCCTTGCCATTGCTATGGTAGTAACCGCGAATGGGGTGCGATCACTGAGAAGGTATCGTTTGGTCATTGCACAGAAATCAAAGCTGCGGCTCACGCAGGAAGTCATTGCAGCGCTAGCCTCCCACAGTCGTGACCACCGCCTCACGGCAAGCAGCTTCTTTCCGTGTTCTATTGATAGGGAATACCTGTATGGCTATGCCGGCGATGGATATCGCTCTCCACTGTGGCTGTGTGCTTCCCACAACGGCTCCCCAGTTCTAGTACACAGGCTCAGAGGAAGTAAGATGTACTTTCATCAAGCCACCAAAGACCGGCGAATATTACTCATCCCAGGTATCCACTATTTTGATGCTCATCGACTGCAACCACTGCTCCTGGAAACTCCTGCATTGCAAGTGCATCTGAGAGAGAGCCCTCTGGTAGGCCCTGAAGGGGCTGGCGAGACAGTGGATGATCCCTCGTCGGAGGAAGAGCGAGCCACCACTGAAAGTGAATCTGAGGTAGAGAATGAAGCCGATGAAGAGGATACACCTCCGGAAGAACCATGGTGCCCGCCAATCCCACCGGCAGTGGATGATCCCACAGAAATGGAAATCAAAGGTGCTGCAGACAAGCTGGCCACTATGATGAACAGTTCGCAGCCTCAAGCCAATGTTTTCTATCAGCCTGACAATCTAGGTGCTCTTCCACACTTGTGGCTGCAAGCCAAGCTTACTATCTCCCTGACGTCTATGCAAGAAAAGTTTGCTCGCCTTTTCATGTCAATTGCGTCAGAACTATGGCTGCGGGATGCGATCGATACTGTAGAAGAGGTATTTGCACATGCTGCCCGTAGTTTCACGCTCAGGCTGGCTGAAACACTTTCGCAGTACATATGCTCGCTCACTCGACGAGCAGAGTCTCTTGCTATCCCAGAGACGGAATGCCTGCTGTATGCCACTTATTGGTTTCGTCCAATTCTCTCTGAGTTAATTGGGGCAGCCAAAGAGAGTGCAGAAGTGAATCGAAAACGTGCCCCCAGTGGCCCTGTGAAAGTTGTCGTCACGAACCAGCCCCACTCTCGGCGCCACACGGGGGTCGACCTGGTGAGTGGGACTTCGGCCTTACTGGCGTGGTTTCCGGCCAGCTGGGCCAGCAAGATTGCACCGTGTTTCTTAGGGGAAGAAGGCGGTGCCATCCAAGCCCCGCAAGAGGTTTCCTTCTCTTGTCCCCATCGAGTTTTTGAGGGGCTGCAGAGAGAAGCGGTTGATCAAACACTGCAGGCAGTTAAATTTACTGACAAAAACGCTCCAGGATTGAGTCTGGCCCTGGACGAGGAATTTCAAGCAGCTGACTGCTTTTCGGAACTCATCCGAGGGTACACAATGGGTGTAGTAGAACCCTACATCATGATGGGCCTGCAACCCACTGGACCCACGAGAGTCAACCTGGAAGTAATTGTACCATCCCCCACAGGGCTTACTCCTGAGATGTGGAAGCAGACAGCCACTCTGTGTCCACTTGAGTGGCCGTCCAATTATAGCCTCCTGAGGTTGTGGCATACGCCCAAAAGCTTCCACCAGTATGCTGCACAACTCAAGCAGCAGGTGCAACATCGCCATATGTTCACTCATTGGGAAGTAAACCGCGCGAAGTTAGCAAGCAGGGTGCTGTTCCAGCGACCAGCCCATTATTTACCAGAGACGATTCTGCAACAGCATGTGCGAGAGCGCACCTTCCCTGATCGGAAACTACGCAGGAGAGCACCAGATACTGACGTGGTTACTTTTCAGACTAAATGCAACGAGCTACGACTCCTGGCTGCAAGAGCAGAAAGGGCGAACCCTGTCTCCTTTGCAATTGGGAACAGCTGGAATGATACTCTCCGAGCAGACAAGCAACACCACCTCGAATACACTACACGAAGTCAGACATAGATTCTTTTCTTCCCTCTCCCCGGTTGGCTATTTGGGTCGCGCTGCCTTTACTTCCCCTCTATCCCTTTTTTAGTGGTTTGTGTTCTCTTTTGGCCCCCCTTGCTAGTGCTGGTTGGGGCCCTTTTTGCTCTGGTAGGAACCTTTCCTTTGGCTCCTCCATGACCTGCAAGTCCCTCACCCTTTTGCCCATTTTACATTTGACTTTCAACTTGGGTATCTGTCCATAGACGTGACAGGTGCACTAGTGCCTCCCCATTCTTTGGTGTCTGGACTTGCTTTTCTTTTTTCGTGTGTGTCTGTCCGTAGACGTGACAGGTGCACTCGCACTCTTTCAGTTTATTCCTCTGGTCCTGCTCTGCTTTTCGTGTGCACGCCCCTAAACTAGTACAATGACTCAGAATTGCCATACACCGCTACTAAGGTCAAGCGCACTACCCCACCAAAAGCACGATTTGTGCCGCCCTCTGTCCCTTTGGTGGTTTTGTGGTCCCCTTAATGTGGTGCCCTGCTGGGCTCTTGGGATCGTTGCTGTGTTGTACTCCTGTCGGTGCGTCTTGTTGTCTTCTTGGTTCTGTTGTGCTCTTTGATGTGCTTGGGTGGGTCCTGCTGGTTCTGTCTTTTTCTCGCTTTTCGGTTGGCTCTTCTTTTGTCCTTTGTGGTTTCCCTCCCCCCGCGGTTCGTCCTGTTTGGTGCCCTGGTCCAGTTACTTAGTTTTTGCTGGTACCTCCCTCTGGGTATCTGGTTGCAGCTGTGACGGCTTAGTTGCCCTGCTCTCGTGCTGGGAGTGTGGTTGTGCTCTGTTATCCCTCCGTCATATGTCTCATGGCAGCAAAGGCTAATTGCCCTGTGTGGGGTTTTCACCCTCTACACCATGTTGCAGGTGATGGCAGGGAGCTTAGTTTGGCCACACTGAGGTATTCATCAGGATGATGATCCAGTTCCCATACCGGACTCTGCTAAGCTGCACTATTGCTATTCTAATGTGATTAGTGCAGCCTGCTCCGCCCCCGCTCCTCCGCTGCCACCCCGGCACCCCCCTCCTGTTTATTGTTGCTTGGGCTGGGTGTCCGGTCCTGTTCTTGCTTGGCTACTTTTTGCCGTGTCGCGTCATTGTTGAAACTTGTGTGTCCTTTCCTTACTGTGTACCCTCCCCTGCTCTT